GCTGCAAGGAGCTCAAGTCACCGGGGGAAGAGACCTCAGCTGGGGAGGAACATCAGGGCGGCGGCGGCAGCCTAACAATGTAGTATGTGTGGTAGAGGAAGTCTCGTTGATGATGTCGTCCAGGTACGAGTCGGACATGCTCAACACAGGCTCTCCTATGACACTAGGGCTCATAGCAGGTATAGTAACGATGAGCTTGCCTCGGCAGTTACTCTTTTCTTCAGCTTTAACGTATCCTATCACCTGGCGTAGTGTCAGCCGGATGCACCTCTTCCGTAACCGTCCAGTTATACCACAGTTTCTTGCTATAGTACTTAGACCTATTCAGCCTTATCGTATAAGAAGCGTCGATTCCTTACAGGTGCCTCCAGTCGCCTTCCTGTACATCGCCGGAGTTTATAACTGTAGAATGGTCATGAGCCGATTGGTATGGCCCGAGTCCTACTCTCTTCGAATGAGTATTTCTACTTACAGGTGCATAGTGAGGGAGAACGGTCTCGTCGAGCACGAGATGTCATCGACCTCTACCGAGAGAAGGCACCAGTAGACTATGAGACCTTGCGACAACAGAGTATGTAACGACCTAGGTATACCTAAGAATTGGTGTTGCGTCTGGGCGACAGGATAGGGTCTTGTTCGGTCGGCTCTCCTGTTATTGCTGTATCTCTTTGTCCTGTTGTGGCTTCGTTTCCATGTCGAAGCTATCTGACGAAACACAGGACCTCCTATTGAAGACCAAAATCGACGATGTCCTCCGGGAGAGTCTGTTGAAGGTGAGTACAGTGGTGGACTAGGAGGAGGACCAGGGGTTTGATATCACTTTTAGTTTTTGGAAAAGATCGGCCAGGAGCCCCGAGCAGAGTACTTCTTGACGGTAGGAGGGTCCGCGTACGATGAGTACCCTCTGATAATGGCAATCATGTCAGCCTGTGGATCAGAAGGCGTATCCTCATTATAAGGACGTTGTGAAGCGGCCGATGGACTTGTCTACTATGGAAATGAAAGTGAAGGGGCAAAGGCCTCGAGGACGGAAGCCTCGAGTGCCCAGACCGTAATCCCTCTAGCTGGCCATCGAATGTCTCTCCTTGGGTGTTTCCTCGAGACTCCTAGCGATGACTCTGGTACATCCACTGAGGCTTGCTGCTGACTTGTGTGGTCAGGACGATAGAGAAGTACCAGTATGTTCAAGATGTCTTCAATGATCTGGAGCAGATATGGATCAACTGCATGACGTGAGGAGGCTCGGTTCACTTAGCATGTTGCACGACGCGTTATGCAGGTTCAACCGCCCAGACTGCGATGCCTATGCTGCCTCTGTAGAGATGCAGGCAACCGCGCGAGCTCTCGTCGATGACTGGGTCGTGGCTAACATCCCTAGTGAGTCGATAGGATGATCAGTGACCAGTGCTCGGTCTCCACTTCATCTGCTAGATGCTCGGATGAAGGAGATCGATCCGAGCCCTACTGTACGACTCACCGCAGAGGTGCTGAGGGAGGTGAGTGAGGCTGAGGGCGAGCCCGAGGCTGGTAATACATCAATTCACACTTTCTCTGGATGGCTCTTATCATCATAGCTGGTCAGGTGTATCGCCGAGCACTAAGAAGTCTAAGACGACTCGAAGAAAGTGTCCGGAGGGTGCGTGTCTACCAGTAGTTAATGTTATTGTTCAGGGGACGGCAGC